CGGCGCTGCGACCCTCGCGGTTGTAGCGGCGCACGAGCGCGGCCGCCTCGGCCCGCGGCAGCTCCACGAACTGCACGGCCTCCAGGAACTCGCCTGCCTCCGGCAGCGTGAAGTTGGCTACGGGATAACGGGATACGGGACTTGGGGACCCCAAAAATCCCCCAACAAAACATCCCGAAAACTCCTGAGAATCCCCAAAACTCCTGAGAATCCCCAACACCAGGAGCGGCTGCAGCTCCACAAACTGCATGGCCTCCAGGAACTCGCCCGCCCCATTTTTTTTCCCATTTTTGCCCCGTTTTTTTCCCGTTTTCACCCGGTTTTATCCCCATTTTCACCCCTTTTTCCCCGTTTTTCCCGAAATGCCTGTTTTTCGCCCCAAAGCCCACCCTTCATCTCGAGCACGGCGTGGTCGGGCACGTCCTTGCCCTCCTCGTCAGTGCGCCGCACAGTGCGCTCGCGCAGCTCCTGGTCCGTGGGGCAGATGACGATGGCCTTGCGCTGGAAGCCCTGGAAGGGACGCATCTTCCGCCGCTGCGCCGAGCCGTACACGTTGGTCTGGGGAGGAAAAACGGGAAAATCTGGCGTAAAACGGGGAAAATTTGCATTTTTTAGCGATTTTTTGGGGGTATTTTTGTTGCGTTTGCTGGAAAATTGGAGGTTTCTGGGCGAGAAAAGAGGATTTGGGGATGCATTTTCCACCGTAGGCGTTGGACTGGAGAAGACATCAGGAAAATTGGGAAAAAGTGGGAAAAAATGGGATGGAAAGGGGATTTTGAGGAGTTTTTGGGGTCTTTTTGTTGTGTTTGCCCTTGGGGAGCCTGGGGGGGGACAGGAGAGTGACAGGGGGGTGACAGGGGGGTGACAGTGTCCCCAGGGTGTCACCTGGTCCAGGATGTAGTTGCGGCGCTTGCGGGCGGCGATCTGGATCAGGCGGTTCAGGCACTGCGTCGCCTGCTGGATCAGCACGTCCCAGCGCCCCGCGTAGTTCCGCTGCCGCCGCAGCCCCATCACCTGCGGGCGGCGCCACGGCTGCGGTGCGGCACCTGGGCACGCACCTGGGTGCACACCTGGGCACCTGGGGACCCTCCTGGGGACCCACCTGGGCACCTGGGCACACACCTGGGCACCTGGGGACCCTCCTGGGGCACCCACCTACAGCCGTATCCCTGTGTCACCCTATGTCCCCAGTGTGCCCTGGGTCACCCCGTGTTGCCAGGATGTCCCCATACCCTCATCTTGTCCATGATGGCGTTTGTCCCCAGGATGTTGTACTTCTTGCCGGGGTTGGCGGCCGCGTGTTTCACCGCCCACGTCGTCTTCCCCGCCGCCGGGAGCCCCACCATCATCAACATCTGGGGACACAGCGGGGACACAGGTGACAATGACATCCTAGGGTCACCTTGGACATGGGACACCCTCAGAGCCACCCCGGTGTCCCTGTGTCCCAGCCCAGCAGGGTCTGGGGACACCCTGGGGACATCCTGGGGACATTCTGGGGTTGCCTCGGGGATGGGACACCCCCAGCATCACATCCCCATGATGTCCCCAGTGTCCCCAGGATGTCCCCAGGGTGTCCCCAGGGTGTCCCTGATGTGCGCAGGGTGTCCCCAATGTCCCCACCTCGCACTCGGCCTTGCTGCTGGGCCCGCGGGTGCCGCGCAGGCGCTGTCCGAGGGGCAGGTGCTGGATGAGGGTGAAGCCGGGGGGCAGTGGCCGCAGGGGCTCCGGCCGCTGGCCGAAGTTGAACTCCACGGCGCAGTTCTTGACCAGCACGTGCGGGAAGAGCGGCCGGCCGGCCAGCGCGTCCTTGCGCACGCGGAACGCCACGCCCTGCCAGCGCCCGTTCTTGAGGAACGACAGCTCCACCTCCTCGCCCGCCTCAAAATCCTGCAAGCACCGGGGGAACGGGGGGAAAAAATGGGGAGAAATCGGGGAAAAATGGTGAAAAAGTATCAGAAATGGGCAGAAAGGCGGAGCCAGCTGAGTTGTGGGAGCAGAAAAAGCAAAATCCCAAAATCCCAAAATCTCAGAGGAGTAAAAGCACAAAATCCCAAACTCTCCAAATTCCAGAATCCCAAAATCTCCTCTGGGAGCGACCTCAGGGGCCCCAGGATGCCCTGGTCACCCTGCGGCCACCCTGAGGTCACTGGTCACTCTCCAGCCACCCAGTTGCTGTCCCCAGGTGCGTCTGTGACATGTCCCAGGTGTCCCCAGGTGTCCCCAGGTGTCCCCAGGTGTGCCCCTCACCGCCAGGCAGGCGATGACGTCACTCTCTCCGAAGGTCTCTCCGTAGCTCTGGAATTTGGCGTCGGTGGATTTGCGGCCGGTGCCGCCGTAGCCGTAGGAGAAGGGCTCCTCCCCTGGGGGGGAAAACCGGGAATTCGGGAAAAGGACGGAAAATTCTCCACGGGGAGAACGGAATTCCCAACCTGCTCCCCACAGGGATCCCAAAATTCCCCTGTTTGGGACAAAAATTCCTGGTGCAGAGCCCAGAATTCCTTCGGGGGAGCCCCAAATGCAAAGAAATTCCCTTCACAAATCCCAGAATTCCAGGGGGAAGGAGACAGCGGGGGACATTTGGGGACACTGGGACACTCACCCAGCTGGGTGCTGCACGAGTCCAGGGACCAGCCCACTCTCACCACGTGGGGGTCGGGCTCCGAGGACGGCAGGTGCTGCACTGAGATCTCCTCCATCACCTGAGGGGACAGAGGGGACACTGGGGACACCTGGGACATCTGGGGACACTGGGGACATCTGGCTCCTGTCACTGGGCCCTGTCACTGTCACCCAGCACTGGGCTCCAGCATCACCACTGGGACCTGTCCCTGTCCCCATGTCCCTGTCCCCAGCCCCTGTTCCATGTCCCAAATCCCAGCATGTCCCCAATCCCTGATCCCAGGGTGTCCCCAGGGTGTCCCCCAGACGCGGCCCTGCCGCACGCCGTAGGTGGCCCTGGCCCCTGACCACAGGTAGGCGAAGCCCTCGATGGTCAGCGGGTGTCCCCCGTACCTGTCCCGCGCCACCTTGAAGTGCAGGTCACAGTTATCTGTGGGGACAGCGCGGGTCATGGGGGGACAGCGGGGGGACAGCGGGGGTCACATGGGGACGTCTCAGGGACACTCACAGGTGTCCACGGCCACCAGGGAGTCGTCAAAATCCTCCTCCTCCTCCTCGGCCGGCGGCTGCGGGGAGCGACCCCTGGGGACAGGGACGGGGACACGGATTTGGGGCTGGGACAGG